AAACATTACAAAGACTCAAGTGTTTCACAATAAATGTATTTTTAAAGGAACAGTCCAAAAAAAATAAATACATAAACCAGCAACACTACAAACTTTTAACACCTACATTAAACATCTGTAAGTGCACACAAAGGAAAACTGGCAATATTTTTGACTGTTGGTCAGAAAGGGAACAGTTCCCATGTTCCATACCCATGCTTCATAAAGTACAGATACAATCATGTTTTGATGTATTTCCTTAAGAAGGCACAGCACTAAGTTGCGGTATTTCCTTATTTACTGTAACAGCACATATCATGATGGCCGGCCTGTAAAGAACCAATCGCTTCTGCCTCAGCTACCAAACCAATTTAAAATCAACAGAAGGCCTCCTAATTTCAAAAATATATATGAATATAATGCCTCATATTTTCCTACTCATTGACTACCTCTTAAAAAGTAACATCGTTTTGAAAACCCCCCAGATATACCGCTATTCGAAATTGCAGACCCTCCACAGAATAACAAGAAAAGAATGTTTAAATAAAATGAGAACAAATTACAAAGTAATTAACATTTAAAAGGATAATAAACATGCACCCAAGTTGGACTAAGCAAAGGAACCCATAATATAACCAGAAAAACAAACTCATCTTAGCTTTCTGACTTGGCTCTGTAATGTCAAGGCACTGTTTAGCTTAAATAGCATTGTTCATGGCTGTAAGTGTTCCACAGGATTCAACAACTATGTTACAGTAAAAACCAAACAAAACTACACACAACTAAATAGATCTTACTGTACACCGCATTAGCTACCTGGTGTAACCGAAGGGAAGGGTGTTAAGTGTTTTTACAACAAAAGCACAACGGATGCGTTGGTTATTTTACAATTGGTTTCATATCAGATTTGTTGCTTCTGTGGCTCCTCCTCATGGAAAGTTATATTCAGATGACTGATTTAAAGTCTAAGTTAACGCCGCCTTTCCTTACATGTCAAACTGCTCGACTGATTTTCCTTATTTATATGCATTAAATACACGTTACGTCTTAATTGTAAAAACTAATGGAAAAAGTGAGTACTTTTAAAATTAACGTGTTTAAAATTTACGATATGATGAGAAAAAAACTGCAGAAAATCTAGGATTAAAATGTTTAAATTAGCAAATTTTAACATTTCTGTTTGAAATCATTTCTATAGTTTGTGTTGCTGAATGATGTAGCTCAACAAAGCTGCAGAGAATGCCTAGAACTTGTTTTCAGTATTGCAAAGCACCCATCTTTAAAAATAGCCTTCAATTTTAAGATCAATATTTATAGTTATAAATTGGTAAACAGAAAAACCTGAAAGCACTGCCTAACATTTACTCAAAACTTAGTAAATGTAATATTTTTTTATTGTCTTTAATGAGAATGGTCCGTTTGTCTCCAATCCGTCAGCCTTTTATTAACTTGTATTATGAGAATTCTAGAAACGAATGAATAGATCAACACATTTGGAATAAAATTTCCTGAAAAACTGACCTATCAAGTTAATCTTTATGAAAACTGAGGCCATTCAAGAAATAACCTGCTAAACAGGAGAGGCCACATGCTGAAGAAGCACTTACCTTACATATGATGTGCTTCTGATTGAGGATTACTGAAGGAACTCTAGAAAGTGAAACCTTTAGATTGGTTACAGTAAATATAACTGTGGCTCATATTAACAGCATTTAAAATCTAGGAAGAACTTCCTGGGAACTCAGTGATAAAATGATGCAGTTTAACTGTTATGTTGACTTTAGGTTTGACTTTCAGGCAGTAAAGAAATATTAAAGATTGGCAATCTATAGATCTCATTTTGGAAGGGACAACTTCCTAAGCCCTAGCATTGTTTCTAACTGGAGAACTTCTAAGTAAAGTAGCTCAACAAGTGCTAGAGTGTGGTTCATATTTGGTTTAAGTGCTGCCAGATTATCAAAAAAGTATAAAATTAAAAAAACGTCTGGTAATTGTCTATAAAAACGTCAAACAGAAGTCCAAAATACAACAAGGTGTACCAAACCAGTAGTCTAATACATATACAGTGCCCTGCAAGAGTATACATCTTAACCTGTTTCACTTTGTGTCACATTACAGCTGGAAACTTTCATGTTTAAGACTCTATTTCACAGACTGACACAAAGTAAATTATAAATAGTGACTACAGGAAAATCATAATGTTTAATCAAATATTAAAAAATATATATATAGAAAAAAAGACAATGTGTTTCTTGATTCTATCGCCTTTATAAGAAAAAATAGTCATGCAACTTTACTGACGCTCTCCATCCAATCAGGCTGAATTTATGCTATTTTTTCAAAGAATGGGCTCAACATCGGTAAATCCATGATCAGATGCCCAAACACCAAGTAAGAGGTCAGTCTAGAGATGCTTAAATGAACTGAATGCATAATGCTTTCAGTTTCCTATTTAGAAATAAAATTTAAAAACTATGAAGCGTTAAGTGCTACTTTATGTTGGTCTATCAGATAAATCCAGGTAAAATCACACAGATTGATTGTGCAACAAAAATGAACAGGTTAAGGGATATGAATACAATTGCAAAGCACTGCATTATGTTTACTATTATGAATTACGCCTTAAAGTAATAATATCATATAATATTAAGCTTTTTATTAAGTTATTAAATGTTATTTTAGGCCTTTGGCGAGGATTTATTTCTAATATAAAAGTACAGGTCTCTTTGCATAAGGTAAGAGAGTCCATAATGTTTGCTTTTTATAGGACATCTTATTTAGTGAAAGTTTAGGCTGTCAGAATAAGGTTACATAAGATTGACCTTTTTTCAAATGTTTAAACCACAGCATTAAAAAAAAACTCCGGTTTAGCACAGTTATGAGGAACTGAGGCCTTGTTGCTGTAACTGGTTCCACTTGTAGGGAACTAAGAGGGGGTCGGATGATGTGATTTGCATCTGAGTTCGAGCGTCGGCGTCTCCCAGAGGAAGGAGGAGTATGAATGGAAGCGTTGATGGTGGTGAGTCCAAAAGTTAACTTGGTTTAGAAACAAAAACCTTCAAGTCTCAGAGTTCACCATGGAGGAAAAGATGTCCACCAAACTGTCGAGTCCAAAAAGGTAGCCGTCCTCCCTGTTCCCCTCTATCCATGAGGCTCGGTGGGTTAGTTCCTCCCCCTCAGGGAGGGGCGTGGTCTTCCCAAAGTCGATCATCCAAACTTTGGCTTGTTTCTTGCTGTCGTGAACGAATAAGAGCGAGCTGCCGATTACCTACGAAGAAACACAACAGCGTGATGATCCAAGAGAAGTGGACATGAATGGCAGAACGGAACAGGATTCTCCCTGTTATTTACTTAATAAAGTAGACGCCTGCTTGTTATTTTTTATTTTTAAACATTATCTCACTTCTTGTTTTGGACAGAAACTTGGTACTAAATGGCTGTGTGAAAATATGTGTGGGGAGGCAGTCTAATTTTCCATGGTTAGACCATCTGTGTTTGAGTGATCTGGTGTGTTTACTTCAATTTAAGACACAGACTAAAAAAAAAAAACAGCTAAATGGGATTGTTTTGATCCCCCCTGCATAAAAACCTTTATGTAAGATGTAGAAAACACCAGATGTCAAAGACAAAAATAATTTTGCATCCAAATATTTTACACATTTCTCTGAAATATAACCCATCTGTTACATCTACACACATAGCACTTCTTCATGCTTTTCTTCAATGTAAACAAGAAGCATAGTGTTTTTTATATTGATGGGTTAACTAGCTAGTAATGAGGAAAGGTTTGGCCTACTGCCTGTGTGTCTTTACCTCATGAGATTTGAAGAAAGGAGAGATCTCCAAAGTGCCTCGGATTTCCTTTAACCTTGTTAGATATTTGTTCTGTAAAATAATAAAAAAAAAACAATATTAGACATGAATGCGTGAATTAAAGTTATATTTAAGTTTAAAATGATCCCTAACTTTTAAGTGAAATTTGATGGAACATGAGCCTTCCATAAAGCACAGATTTATAAAGGCCAAACCTGACAGCTTTCCTGTCCATGGAGCTCTACAGCTCCTCCAGTTACCATCATGGCTTCCTCCTGGTTAATGCTATCTTTGTTACTCGTTTTAGAAGGACAAATGTTGTGATAAGTCTGCAATTGTCTTACTGTATTTACATTTTGCATTTAAAGTAAATGTTTGCACTAGATTTAATTTACCTAGGGTTATCAGAGTACCTAAAGCTGGATATACCTGTACTACATGTTTTTTGTTGTTATATTTGTAATAAAGTAAAGAGATTGTATGTAGCGTTACCTTCCACTTCAAAACTATACCCTACTTTATTTTAGCACATAAGATATTTCTGTATACTGTAGAAATATTTGTGGTAGTTTCATTGTAACTATTTTACAGTGACAATCTGATGTGCTCTGAATGGCATCTACACCTGTAGTCCCGAGGTCTGTAAAAAGTTCAAATGGACTATTTTATCTCTGTTGCCACGGCACAAATAAAACCAGACACCATAAAGAACTGGAAAATCTGCATTACTGACTCATCATTCTCAGATAGCATCATTACTAAGAGGCATTGTGTAAATAGTTGCACAGTTTTGATCTAAAGCCTAAATCTTTTGTTTGAGAGAAAAATATGCTGCTTATTGGCACGATCGTATTAAAGGTGATAGCTATGAGTTTAACTCCTCCTGGACAGTAATTGGTGCGTTAACCCACTCTCCTGTAATATTTGCCAACCAGTTGCCAGGTGTGCTAATGCTAATGCTTCTTGAACCAAACATTCTACCATCCAGTTCAGAAGAAAAGCAGCTCAAGATCCTTTCGTGTTAAAGTTTGCATAATAACCAGTAGTAAATATTTCTTTGTTTTACACCACTCTAGACGTTCTCTAAATACATTTTGAAAACTGTATTGATACGATGAAAAGCTGTAGCGATGACCTCTAATCACTTCTGGATGGCACATACATTGACAGCCTGTTAAGATTATTTCATCCAGTCACCTACCAGTATCTCCTTATCGCCTTTTACAAAGTCATGGAAAGCTGCAACCACCTGCTCCCTTGTCTTGGTCTTCTTAAAATCTCTGTTCACAGATCCATCTTCTTTCTACAGAAAAAATGAGACAAAATTAACATAAAGTGGCTTTTTGTGTATGCGTCTTTGAAGGTATGTGTACTTCTGATGTATAAATCAATCTGGGAGAACATATATGCCACTCGTTTTTTTGCATTTATGATCAGACAACAGTCAATACAAGATGCTTTTCACAAATAATTAATACATCAGTAAGGAAATACCCTCCAAACCTGTTTGCTTTTCTAAATTACATGGTCACAAACTGATTGCCATTGCAGTTCCATTAATTACTACCGGTAAGTCATCAGACAATCAAACTACCACTACTGTTTTTGGCCTTTAGTAATATGTTTTTTTTTTTTTTTATGCTCTAAAATTTCAAGCTAGATCATGGTTTTGTACCTTATCTGTTGTTATATTTCTAAGGGATACATTTTGATATTTTTAAACCTACTTCGTGTTGTCAGGCACGTCCAAGCAATTCCCTGTTCGGCATGTTTACACATGAGGCAGAGCTAAAACCATGACTGGAAACTGATTTTTCTATTTATTTATGTTATGTAATAAAGCCAAAGCAAACCAATGTTCAAACAGACAAATACATTTAAGGATCCAGGCTTAGGAAACCTGGAGAAGAAAAAGGTAGAAAGGATGAGAAAGGAAGGGTATGTGTGTCCAGTTTGTGGAAGGAAGGGTAAGAGGGATATTTTTAGAAAGTTACCCTTCAGACCAATAAGGGCGCTTCTGTATTTTTAAATCTAAACATCCACACAATCGTTATTTTTAAACCTTTAATTTTCCACTTCATACATTTTGTATGTTTTGATGCGTCACCGATCTGCTATCTGTGTTACGCCTTACAAAGTACTGAGGCAGCCTCGCTAAAATGAACTCATCAGTGATAAAAACCAAACAAACAGGCCAAACTGTCCACTTCCTCTCTAATACAGCAAATGTGGAAGTATGAATGTTTGTAGTTGTAACAGAGTACTAGTGTGTGAGGCTTTAGTTGAGGCAGAAAATGCAATACTGCTTCGGCAGGAGGTTTTTCAGACGAGGCACAACTACCGTTGGTCACCAGTTAGGTGGTTTAGAGTGGAGCTCTTCTTATCCTGCTCGCTGCCTGGCAACAAGGTCATATTTAGCAGCAAAAGTAGTTCTTCCCTTTATGGTTTAAAGTCTGACGATTCTCTGACCCAATGGGGCTTTGAGACACACTTTATACCTGACTATGCTGTGTTTCCAGCTATCATAATAGACTCGTTGCTACAGACATGGCTGTCTACAAAATAAACTGAAGATCCGTGCATAATTATCCAGATAAAGACCCACACTTGTCTTTTTTTTTCTGGGGATAACCTTCAGTATTATGGCAGCAGACCACCAGGAGGTTGTGAATGTCCTTATATAGCCATGACTCACACAGACAAAGAGACTTTGAGTGTGTACACAATATGTCAGAAGCATATGCCCAGGCCGCCACAGCTGACAGTGACAGAACCTGCGCAAAACAAAGGTACTCATGTAACTCAGAGGAAGTTTCTGGGGAAAAACAGGAAGTTAGATCATATTCCTAAACCAATCGCACTGCAGAGCAGACCGTTAGAAGAAAGAAGGGAAGGAAAACGGCATTGTGAGTCGTACCTTGACTCCCTCTATCCTGAACCCCAGGGTGGCCGTTGAGCTAATGGTCTCTCTCCACTGCATGTATCTGGGCTTGGTCACTGCCTTATTGTCGTTCTCCTCCAATGTTGGTGCCCCTGGGTCGACCTCGACCATTTTCTGATACATGTCGGGCCTCGGAGCTGGCTTTCTACGAGCCTTAGTTAGCTCCTCCTCGAGGTAGGTCCTGAAGGGTCAGTGAAGAACAGTAGTTAGAGAAGGAGGGGAAGGAAAGAGTAGAATAACATGAAGGCAGACATGGGCAATGTGGAGTCAACAAGTCATCTCCATGT